CACCACGTCCCACTTCGTTCCCTCCACCCTTCCCCCTCCAGCTCGTCATCCGTCCTCGCACGGCGCTTCCAGAGGCATCGGGGGCGCACTGGGCCCCAGGAGCGGCAGGGCAGTTTGTTGGTTGGCCGTTTTCAAATGTCTGTGTATCTCTCTCTCTCTCTCTCTCTCTCTCTCTCTCTCTCTATTTACATATATATATATATCCCTATCTCTCCCTCTCCCTCTCTCTCTGGGGCTTGAAAACTGTGCAGACATGACCAATAACAGCAGCAACACTTTTAAGACTGTTCGCTCTTATCTGCTCGCGTGCCATTCAACACGAATATCCCAAACCTTCGATACCCGCCCTCTTCGTCTTCGATAGTACCCCCCTGGGGAGATATCTTTCTTACCTGCAACGTGTATTTCGTGCAGCCCCACAGGCAGGGGAAGAAAGGACGAATGGAAGTAAAGGACAAGGGGGAGACAAGAATGCTCTGAAGGACCCCCCTCTGGCGCAAAAAAATCCTAAGAAGTCTCAAAGGAAAAAGCCATGCCGACATCCCCCAGCAGCAGCAACCTGGTTCTGAAGGAGTCCCATGTAGTGCTAGACTGTGGGGAAAATATCATGCGAAACGGGCGTTCTGGCATCCGCCAATAGCAGCAAAGATGCTCTGAACAGCCCCCCTGTGCGCAAAAACTCCCAAAAACGTCTTGAACGAAAAGGCCATGCCAGCATCCGCGAGTAGCAGCAACCTGGTTATGAAGGACCCCCTTGTAGTGCTACATTGTGAAGAGTATCAAGCGAAACGGCCGTTCGGGCACCCGCAAGCAGCGGCAAGACTGCTCCGAAGGGCCGCCCCCGTGGTGCTGAATTGCGAAGAGGTCTCCGGCGAGAGCGCCCTTCCTGAGGCTCGGGCCCTCTCTGGCCAGGGCCTCTCGGAAGCAACTGTGGGAAGTATCGCACGGGAGCGTTGTTGAATTCTCTCTCTCATATATATATATATATATATAGAACAACTATGCTTGATCCCCCTTGCGCAAGAACCAGTAACCTTTGTATGTGTAAATGAAAATGTTTTTCCCTGGGCCCGCACCCTGCTTTTTACTCTGGAAAGCAAGGCGTCACCAAACAGGACCCCTGGCCCCCGGTTTCAAACAACAGCGGTTCGCGCCAGATACTTCTTCACAACTTATTCCCAAATCGCGCTCTTGCGCGGGACGTCCTCCCGACTGATACAGGAATCGCGTTCTCGCGTGGGACGCTCTCGCAATGTACTCATACGCCGCGCACTCGACACTCAGGAATCACGCTCTCGCTCTGGTTTATGTGGGAATCGCGCTATCAGTCGGGCCTTCCTCGCGATTCAAACAATAATCACGTTTCAGCAACCCGCCTGCTCGACATGGCCGCTTGGGCCCGCCTTCCCAAGCCGCCCGTCAGAGTCTACACGCCCGATTTTGCCCGATTAGCTCTGCCACTTGATTTCTGCTCCTAGCCCCCGTCCTGCAATTTTGTTACTCTCTCTCTCGTGTTCCATCGTCTTCCCTCCCCAGTTGTTCCTTCCTTCCGTCTCCCCTCTTCCCCTACATCAGGGGCTGCACGAAGTACACGTTGCAGGCTAAAAGAATACCCCCAAAGGAGTACGATCGAAGACGAAGAAGGGGGCGGGTATCGAAACTTTGGGATACACGTGTCGAATGGCACGCGGGCAGATAAGAGCGAACACTCGTAACATGATTGTTGTTGGTGTTGCATTCCCAGGAGGCAACGATTGTCGATCCTCCGACAACAACAAGGAAAACAAGGGGTCACCAAACTGGGCCGCTGGCCCCCGAGTTACAACAACAACAACAACAACAACAACAACAACAACAACAATAACGGCTCCCGCCTTACACGTCCTCACCGTGTATTCCAAAATCGCGCTTTCGCGCGGGACATCCTCACAATGTATACGAGAATCGACCTCTCGCGTGGGACGCCCTCGCCATTTACTCATACGCCGCGCCCTGGACATTCAAGAATCACGCTCTCGCTGTGGACTTCCCACGATGTGTTGTATGTGGGAATCGCGCTATCGCTCGAGACTTCCTCGCGATTCATGCAGTAATCACGCTTCAGCAACCAGCCCTCTCCACCTGGCCGCATGGGCCCGCCTTCCCGACCCGCCTGGTAAGGTCTACCCGCCCGATCTGCCCATCTGGTTCTGCCACGTGCTTTCTGCTCCTAATTCTCCTCCTGCTACCGTCTCTCTCTCTCTCTCTCTCTCCTCTCTTTCTCGTGTTCCATACTCCTTCCTCCCCCTTTGCCCCTTCCTTCCATCCGCCCTCATTTATCATGTCTCAGGGGCTGCACTAAGCGGCTGCACGAAATACACGTTGTAGATGCGAAAGGTATCTACCCCAACGGGATACGATCGAAGACGAAGAGGGCGGGTATCGAGGGCTCGGGAGATACTGACTGAGTGGCCCACGAGCCGATAAAAGCGAGTAGTCTCAAAATGAGTGGTGTTGTTGGTGGCGTTGGTGTTATTGTTGCTGTTGTTGCTGCTGTTGCTATTGTTACTGGTTTTACTGATGTTGGTTATGTATTAGCTGTTAATGTTATGATCATTGGTTATGTTATTGTTGTTGGAGTTGCTGCTGGTGTTGCTGCTGTTGTTATCGGTGTTGTTGCTGCCGTTGCTGTTGTTGGGGTCTGGTTTGGGCGGAATCCCAAAACGCTTGAGAGGGAACCCTATTCCAAAGGAAACGCAGCCGGCGCCGAAGCGAGAGCGCCAGGGCGTCTGTAGGGGGCCGAACTATCCGCCACCGTGCCTCGAGGCACGAAGTGGAGTTACCCCCAGGCTCGCATGTGTTCTCGGTTCCCTGCATTCAAAACTGGGGGGTTATGCATTCCAAGGGCTATGGTCAAGATTATCAAATTTCCGGGGCGTTCCCGCGCACCCCTGGGCCGCTTCGCGCGACTTCTCCAAAGGCCAAGGGGGCCCCAAGACGGGCTCAGAGGGGCCCAAGAAAAGCCAAAGAGACCTCCAACACAGCCCAAGAGCGCCCCAAGACACCCAAGATGGCCCCAAGACGCCCCAAGGGGCGTCAAAGAAGCCCCAAGAACGCTCCAAGAGGATCCCCAACAGGGCCAAAAGACGCAAGAACCAGTGACATCCCCTGTGTTTTTCTCTGTGCTTCGCGTTCTCGAGCCTTCGAGCTCACGACGTTCCACGGCGGCTCCAGCGGCCCCAAAAACCGTCCCAAGACGGTCCACGAGGTCCCCAAGAGGGCTGCCGTCCATCTGTGGATCTTCCATCATTTAAAGCGAGGTATCATTTAAGACTGCCCCATCGAACTATTTGATTCCCCATCTAGGGATTTCCCATAATTCAAAACTGCCCCAAGCGAATTATAAGAAACCCGAGGCCGCAGAGAGTAAAACGCGAGCCCTACGACTTCAAAAAAGCCCTTCCTGAAATTGTGAGAAACCCATAGGTCGCCAGAAACCCGTAGGTAGGGAATCTGGCGACATATAGATTTCCCAGAATTGTCCCAGCCGAAGTATGGGAAACCCATAGATCGCCAGAAACCCCTAGGGAATCTGGCGAACTATGGGTTTCCCATAACTCTTCCTTCCGAAGTATGGGAAACCCACAAGCCCTGTAACCTATCTGGCAACCTATCGGTTTCCGAATTTTTCTCACGCCGAACTATGGGAAACCCATAGGTCGCCAGAGACCCTGAGGGAATGCAGCGACCGATGGGTTCCCAGAAATGTCCCCACCGAAATATGGGAAACCCACAGGTCGCCAGAAACCCTCAGTGAATGTGGCGCCCTGTGGGTCTACCAGCGGCGCCACCGCCGAATCATGGGAAACCCGTCGCCGTAATCGTCAGCACCACCGAGGTACTGGGCAGGCCCGGTGGCCCGGCGGCGGGACTTGGCAGCTGGATTGCCCACGCGCTCGAAAATATACCCCCGGGGGCTGGTCTTGCAGGCCGTCTCGGGCGGCTGGGGCCGTCCCTCCTGGAGGCACTCGGGCCGCCCCAGGAGGTCAAAATCATGGAACCGGTCACGCGTCTGTGCTCTTCGCCTGCTCGCCTGCTCGGTCTCAAGGGCGTCCAAGACAGCTCCAGCGGCCCCAGTTATCGCTCCGAGAAGCTCTTCCCCGGGCCCTCCAGATGGGCCCCGAGAGGCCCGTAAAAGAGGGGCCCGAGGGGGGCAGCTGGAAAAGCCTGTGGGGCACGCCCAGGGGCCCAGGAAGCCTCTCGCTCCGAATGGCTGGAATATTTGGAAGGGCAGGGAGGGAGGGAAAGGTTGTAGGGGCCGCATGATTTCAAAGCGCTCCACCAATGTCGAATCACCCCCATTCAGGAGCAGACTAATGAGAGAAGAGAATAATGACGAGGGGGATGAGGGCGAAAACCTCCGCGCCCATCCCCAGCCCATCACCCACTTACCAGGCCCCTCTTCCAATCTTCCCGTCCCCTGTTCCATCTCTCCCTCCTCTTCTGCCTCCTCGACCTCCCCTTACCAATGTTCCCCGCCACCCTCTCGTCTCTTCTCGCTCCGTTCCTCTTCCCTCTCCTCTGCCCGATGTCCCCACTCTCGCTCTCTCAGTTGCATTTCTCTTCCCCATGTTCTCCGCCCTGTTTCTCCGCCCTGCCCCCCCCCCCCTTCCATTTCCCCTGCGCCCCCTTGCCCACTGTCAACCCTGTCCCCCGTCCAACGCAACATCATCGATCGGAAATCCAGGCCCCGTTTTCTCGACCTCTCCCATCAACATTCCCTACTGGACTCCGTGCGCGATGCGAGGAGAGAGGAGGGGTCTATTTTAGCGTGGCGAGAAGCCGGGGTTCAGTCGTAAGCACACCGCCCACCCCCCTGTCCACTGTCTTCCTGCCCACTGTCCCCCTGCCCCTGTTCAGTCGTTCAGGCCCCCCTTGCCCACTGTCCCCCTGCCCCCACCCCCACTTCCCGCCTCGCCCCCCTTCCAGCACAACTCCCATCGACCTGGGAGGCCGGGCTCCGTCTTCTTGATGCCCTCGGTCCGCCACAGCAGCCTGGCGAAGGCGCCGACGGGGGAAGGCCTCTTCCTCTGCCTCCTCCTGCTCCTCCTCCGCCTCCTCCTCCCCAGCATCATCGTAGCCATCGTCAACAGCAGCAGCATCATCACCACCATCGTCATCGTCATCATCATCGTCATCAGCATCATCGTCATCATCATCATCATCATCATCATCATCATCATCATCATCATCATCATCATCATCATCATCATCATCATCATCATCACCATCATCAGTGACATCAGCATCAATATCATGCGTCCCTACAACCTTATGAAGAACTCCTCCCTGTCGCACCCCGAGGCCGGTCGAAAGGCGGGCCAGGCGTGTTGCCTGAGACTTCCTCACCACGTATGACCCTGACGCTTAGAAACTGGCAACCCCCCGTTCAGATGGAGGGCGGGCCGCTTGCAAAATCTGGTTTTCGCCCCAGCGCCGCGCACATCCGTTTCAAGGAAAACGCATGTGAGCCAGCGTGGACCCCAAACACTTGGTTCTAGTCTCTGCGGTGCAATGCATGTGGCGCAATGTACGCGATGCAACCCATGTATTGCACTAGACGCTGTGCAACCCATGCGGTGCAATTGGTTTGTACAAACGAATTGACACACCCCGTGCTCTTGCAAACATCCCACCCACAAACCCGCAACTTCGTTTGCAAAACCCATGCGGTGGGAATTGCGATGAGTGCTTGGCGCTGGTTGGTGCATCTCTGCGGCCGCGCCAACCCAAGCACGTGTGGGCAGCGGCCAGCTAGTTTGGCGCGACCGACGCGGCCGCGGTGGCGCTGACCGCTGGTCACATCTCAGCGGGTACTTCAGTGCGAGTCGGCGACTTGGGCGAGCGCGGTATCATGGCAACGTCGACAACGGTAGACACGATGGTGATAGTAGCGATGGTGGTGACGAGGCTGAAAACGACAACGGCGCGGCCAGTGCGGGCGCCGATGCCGATCACACCGACGACGGACGATGACGGCGTCCTCGCGTCGGCGATGAAGGTTTTGGAAAGAGTTCGACATGCGCGCGCGACCGACGCGCGAGTGGCCCGCATGGTCTCATTTCACACGGATCGTGCCACCCCTCAGCACGCGCGCAAGGGCGTTCGAATGATTTCGGCATGCGGCGCCAAAAGCCCGACTGGAAGAATTCCATGAAACTGGTGAACATGATCGGCCCACGAACCCGGAAAAGAATATAAAAATGTAAGGCATGGCAGCGTTTCAACGACACCTGATTGGGCGACGGGCAAATGCAACGTTGAGTGTATCGAATTTGATGTACCGTGCCGAGGGCTGTGCTGCGCTGCGCCGTGCTGAATTGCGATGTGCCATGCTGCGCTTGTGCTTTATATATATATATAAAAATATATATACATATATATAGACATACATATACATATACATAGCGTTGTGGATCGAGTCCTCCTTTGCACCCGAGTCCTGACCGAACTGATCCTGATCTAAAGCTCGAGCTGCCTGAGCACATCGTAGCCGCCCCAGAGCTAGTCGACAGAGGGGACGTGCCAGGAGCACGCGCCGCGGAACGTCCCGAGGGACGCGCACGAGGCGACGTGCCAGGGGGCGTGCCGTGGGGACGCACCGAAGGACGTGCCAAAGGGACGCGCCACGTAACGTGCCGATGGACGTGCCACGGGACGTGCCAGGGGACGCGCCGCGCGACGTGCCAGAGGGGGTCTCGCCACGGAACCCGCCCAAAAACGTGCCAAATTGCAGCGTTGAGTGTATCGATGTTGATGTACCGTGCCGAGGGCTGTGCTGCGCTGCGCCGTGCTGAATTGCGATGTGCCATGCCGCGCTTGTGCTTTATATACCTTTATTTTTTATACATCTATATATATATATATATATATAAATATGCATATGTATATGTATATGCTCGCCCCCCCTGGTATGATACCATTTGCCTGGTCTTCGATACTTCCCGCTTCTGTCTTTGTCAGCCCTCCCCCTCGTATGCTGCCCACTCGCCGTCCGCATTGGTGTCGTTCCTTCCCGCTGCATTTCTTTGTATGGTTCGTTCCTTCTCCTTTTGATTATGTTCTTTATCCTCCCGATCCTCCCTACTCCCTCACCCCTCGTCCCTCATCCTTCCTCCCACCCTTCTCCGTTGCAGGGCCTCGTCATCTTCTTCCCCTTCGCAAGCTTCCTTACAACCCTCGTTCCTTCTACTCTTTATTGTCCCTCCTACTCTTCATTATAATTGTCTTCTACTCGTTTATCGCTGATCCGACTTCTCTGCATATGTTCGTCGTTCCAAGGGCCTTCAAACATCGATGCCTTATGTGTAGGGGCCTCCACATATTGATTCCATGTGTGGAGGGACCTCCACATAATGAGTCCATATGTGCAAGGGGCCTCCATAATGATATCTTGTGTGGAGGGGCCTCCCACTCGTTAAATCCTTATGTGGAAAGGGCCTGATTCCTCTTGTGGGGGATCCTCCACATATTGTTTCCTTATGTGGAAGGGTCTCCACATGTTGATTCCGTCTGTGGAGGGATCTCCACATGTTGATTCCTTGTGAGCAAGGATCTCCACATTGATTTCTTATGTGGAGGGGCCTCCAACTTGTTCATTCCTTATGTGGAAGGGGCCTTCACATAATGATTCCTTATGTGAAAGGGCCTGCACATATGGATTCCTTATGTGGATGGGCCTTTTAATATCGATTCCTTATGTGGAGGGGCCTCCACATATTGATTCTGTCTGTGGAGGGACCTCCACATATTGATTCGTTCTGTGGCGGGCGATCTCCTGTTCCTCCTCCTCCTTCTGCTCCTACTCCCCCTCCTTCTCTCACTCTGGCGCAGGGGGGTGAGGAGAAGAAGGATCAGAAGGAGTAGGAGGAGAAAGATGAGGAGGAGAAAGATGAGATTGCTTCCTTTTGTGGGGGATCCTCCACATATTGATTCCTAATGTGGAAGGGACCTCCACATGTTGATTCCGTCTGTGGAGGGACCTCCACATATTGATTCCCTATGTGCAAGGGGTCGCCATATTGATTTCTTTTGTTGAGGGTCCTCCCACTTGTTGATTCCTTATGTTGGAAGGGGTCTGCACATATTGATTCCTTATGTGGATGGGCCTTCAAATTATCGATTCCTTAAGTTGAGGGGCCTCCACATGTTGATTCCGTCTGTGGAGGGATCCCCACCAATTGAGTTCTTTTGCGGCGGGCGATTTCCTGTTCCTCCTCCTCCTCCTGCTCCTCCCCCTCCTCCTCCCACTCTGGCGCAGGGGTTGAGGATAAGAAGCAGCACAAGGAGTAGGAGGAGAAAGATGAGGAGGAGAAAGATGAGATTGTTTCCTTTTGTGGAGGGGCCTCCCCCATATTTGTTCCTTATGTGCAAGGGGCCTCGCGCATATTGATTCCTCTTGTGGGGGGGAGTCCTCCACATATTGATTCTTTATGTAGAAGGAACCTCCACATGTTGATTTCGTCTGTGGAAGGACTTCCACATATTCATGTCTTAGGTCAAAGGAGTCTCCACATGGAGTTCTTATGTGGATGGGCCTTCGAATATAGATTCGTTATGTGAAGGGGCCTCCACATATTGAGTTTGTCTGTGGAGGGACCGCCGCATATTGATTCCTTATGTGCAAGGGGTCTCCATATTGATATCGTGTGTGGAGGGGCCTCCAACATGTTGAATCCTTATGTGGGAGGGGCCTTCATAGATGAGTTCCTTATGTGAAGGAGCCTGTACATATTGATTCCTTATGTGGGAGGCCCTTCACAGATCGATCCCTTATGTGGAGGGGCCTCCACATGGATTCCTTGTGTGGAGTAGGAGGAGAAAGATGATGAGGAGGAGGAAGAGTAGGAGGCGGAGGTGGACACGGGGGAAGCGGATTTACAGATCGATTCCTTTTGTGGCGGGGCGGGGTACATAGAATGGGAGGAGAGGACAGGAGGAGGAGAGAGAGAGAGAGAGTGTCAAGAGAGGGAGGAGAGAGACAGAGGGAGGAGGAGAGGGAGGAGGAGAGAGAGAGGAAGGGAGAGGAGAGGAGGAGAGAGAGAGAGAGACAAGAGAGGGAGGAGGATAGAGAGAGAGAGAGTCAAGAGAGAGAGGGGGAGGAGAAAAGAGGAGAGATAACGAGAGAAAGAGGAACGGAATTCGGCAGAAAACGGGCGGGAACGTTGAGTCAAGGAGTCGGCTAGGTGGAGGAGACGGAGGAGGGTGTTGTTTTATTTTTGTTCCTCCCCCCCGCCCTCGGAGGCGGAGTGTTTTCTTCTTTTTCCTGTGAAAACACAGGTTTTTTCCTATTTTTCATTTTTTCCCCTGTTTTTCGCTCTCCCGTTCGGCCCCTCGGAGTTTCCCCGCCGCCCCAGGGGGGGCCCGAAAAAGAGGAAAAAAAAAAAAACAAAAACAAAAAAAAAAAAAAAAAAAAAAACTGTGCTTCAAGGAAAAAGAAGAAACTAACTCCGCCTCCGAGGGCGGGGAGGGGGAAAAAAGGAAAAAACACCCTCCTCCGTCTCCTCCGCCTACTCCTCTCCCCCCTACTCATCTTCCCCCCCCTCTGGTATCATATCATTCGCCGGTCGCAGTCGCCGTTCGCAGAACGGCGAATGGTATGATACCAGGGGGGCGACCATATAGATATATATATATATATACATATATATAGCGTTGTGTATTGAGTCCTCCTTTGCACCCGAGTCCTGACCGAACTGATCCTGATCTAGAGCTCGAGCTGCCTGAGCACATCGTAGCTGCCCCAGAGCTAGTCGACAGAGGGGACATGCCAGGAGGACGCGCAGCGGAACGTCCCAAGGGACGCACGAGGCGACGTGCCAGTGGACGTGCCATGGGGATGCACCGCGGGACGTGCCAAGGGGACGCGCTACGGAACGCGCCAATGGACGTGCCACGTGACGTGCCAGGAGACACACCGCGCGACGTGCCAGGGGGTCTCGCCATGGAACGTGCCAGGCAACATGCCAAGCTGCAATGCTAAGGGTATCGATCTT